TTCTATCTTTTTTATTTATTTTTCTCTCTCTCTCTCTCTCTCTCTCTGTCTGTCTCTGTCTGTCACTTATTCTTTTTCTTTTTCATTTTCTGTCACTCTCTCTCACACTCTCTCTCTCTCTCTCTCTACACTCTCCTTTTCTCTTTATATCTTTATTTCTTTCTGTTATGTTAGACGTTCTCAAGCAAGCAAGCAAGCAAGCAAGCAAGCAAGCAAGCATGATTCGTACTCGGACAACTCGAATAAAACGTCGGCGCGTATTTGCAACAGGAAACGTTGAAGAAAAACCGGTGCCGTGGAAAAGATTCCACCAATCCGTATTTAAACGAATGACCGCTTTAAAAATCATATATTCCATCATTTTTTTCTTTTTCTTTTCTTTTCTTTTTGTCTTTTTTTGTTGCTGTTGCTTTTTTTTCTTTTTTGGTGGTCAGGAGAATCGGGTAAACGGATAAAATTGTTTTTTTTTTTTGTATACGTATAAAATTAACGATCGAAATTATCAATTGATAAAATGATACTAGTAATAGGTGAACATGAAAAGAAATGGATATATATCTACGCCATTGCGAAGAACTCTCGTAAATAATTTGTTGATTATCGTTTCCCTCACACTTGTATCATCGGTCGGTGGGTTAGTAGCTTTTTAACATAATCCAACAACGTGTACCCCTCCATACTTATGTCGTTAAAATAAGGGGTGTGTAATGTGTGTACACGACAGGGTAAGAACGAAATTCAATCGAAAAACTGGACCAAAAGTAAAATAAAGAAGTGGACGGGGAAGAAAACTGGGGGAAAAAAAACCGTAAAAATCGAAAAGATACAAATTACAACAACAACAAAAAAGGGGAAGGGGGGATTTAAAAATGTTCAAACAATCTTATACGCGATTCCATGAAAATGTTACTCGTCGAGAAAAAGAGACGAGTTAAACTTTTATATACGGTGTATCTTTTTAATGGCTATAACTCATACAATATACGTTCGTATGGTAACCATGCAATTCCAAACGGGAGACAATGTACCCTTTAAATCGACCATCATTCCATTTAAATGTTGATCTCTCTCATTTCCATGCAATAACATTCTCATTGGCTATATATTTACGTCGATATGTTATATTATAATTCATTTATACTTTTTTGTACATTTGAAATGTGTTCGTACGAAGATAGAAAGGAAAATATGATACAAAAAAGAAATAAAAATAGATAGAAACAGGGGGAGGAGGGAAATCTTGAGAGAACGGTTAAGAATTTTATTATGAGAAATTATTTTTAAATCATACTCCCCGAGCAACAATAATAATATACCGAAATGCACTTGTTACTAGTATGCATAGAAAGAAAAAAAAAACCAAACCTAATCAATTAAATCAATTTACTACGTAAATATACATCAAAATATATGATTGAAAAAATATAAACGTAGAAAAAGAAGAAACGTTACGAATGAATTATTATATTATGTTATAGTTGTTCCCCCGATGAATAGGATGGGCGGGGGAAGGGGAAGGGGGAGGGGTAGAAAGAAAAGAAAAAAGAAAAAAACAAATCAAATGTTTCTTCTAACCGGTCACAAAGTTTTCAACGATCATTACCTGAACTGAACTATTATCACTATGACGGATAAAAATAACTATCGATAGAGGGGATCGATCAAGGATCGAAAGGAAACTAGGATGATCTCGATCACGAAATGGCAATCGTTTGTAATTGGAATGCCAATTCTGGATCGACGTACGATCGGGGATGGTGGTACTACGTATTACAGTATGTTATCGTTCTCTTATTATATTCTACATTTATTATTTTTATGTTTTCTTTTAAATACAAAAAAATTGCAAAAATTTAAATAGAAAAAAAAACCAAAGAAAGAATAGAAAACGTACGTTTACGCGAGACTCGTGTACGTTCATCGCAAAGACGATGATCCCTTAATACACCTACACACGTTTATATTAAACTAAAGAGAGACAGAAACACACACACACAGAAAAAGAGAGAGAGAGAGAGAGACTGTATCACGCAGAGGAAAGATTTACTCACACGAACGAAACGGAATCCAGTTTGCCGAGAAATTTTTTCGCAAACTCTTGTTGGTGCTCACGTCTTCACTCGGCTAGTGATTCCTGGACAACGTGACGCAATTATGCAACGAACTGGTCCTCTCTCTCTCTCTCTCTCTTTCTTTCTCTCTTTTTCTTTTTCTTTTCCTTTTTCTTTTTCTTTATCCACCCTTGTCTCTCTTATTGGCGATTCGTTCTCCTTCTATTCTGGTTCGATACTATCGCTGACCTTGAAGCCCTCGAAGACTCCCTCGCGGCCTTGCAGTTTGTGCCAAGACTTCGGGATCAGGGACGATCGTCGTAACAACCGTGCAGACCTAATCATACGTTAGAATGAGAAATAGAGAAAGAGAGAGAGAGATAGAGAGATAGAGAGAGAGAGAGTACGATGATCAAATTGATCCTCATGCTACTCCCTTTTTTCTTCTTCTTATTCTTCTTCTTTTTGTTTTTCTTATTCCTCTTCGTTGACCGTAATTGATTGATTCTAATGTAATTAACCTGCAAGAAACTATTGGATAACATCTGTTGGATGACAAAGGATATACTTCGAAGTATGTCGCGTTGCCTATAGACAGGCGCAGATATTATATCGTGTTACACACGTTTTATTTTTCTTATATATAATATTATTTAATATCGGATATATAAGTTTTATATAACATTCAGATGTGTGATTAAAGATTAAATAAAATATATATCTATATGTATGTGTGTGAAAGATATTTAATTTATATTTAGAATTTAAATATTTATTATTATATATATATAAAACGATGGTTTTTAAAATAATGATCGTTGTTGTCGTAACGCTGTATAAAAAAAAGTAATTTGCTATAGGAATAAAATACATTAATATCCGTTACTTCGTTCACACACGCGCTTATGCGTATAAATATATTACAATTAAAAAAAAAATATTGATTCCCTATACGATATAATACGAGCTGTGAATTATTTTTACGAGAAAAAGAAAAAAAAGGGGGGTGGGGATAGAAAATTTGATTAAATAATACAAATACGAATAACGAATAAATCGTTTGACTATAAAGTTACGTGACGTTGCAATGGAATAATAATAATAATAATGAAAGAAAGTGGACGAAAACGTTCATTATTATTATTATTATCATTATTATAAATAAATCCTCTATTTTTTGTTCTCTTATTATTTCTTCCTTCTTTTTATTTCTCAAGAGTTTCTAACAAACTGGATCGAATATCCTCGAGCAATGCAAATTCAGTAGGAAGATTCTCCGATCGGAGTCTGGTGAGTTTGGTTTGGTATAGACAATCTCGATCAGCAGACGGTAGCACGAAAAAGAATAAGAAGAAGAATAAGAATAAGAAGAAGAGAAGAAGAAGAAGTTTACCGGTGTGCTGAAGGCAACCAAAAGGATCAGAGAAAAACGATAAGTGGAGAGAAAGAGAGAAAGGAAGAACAAAAAATAAAATAAAATAAAATAAAATAAAAAAATAAAAGCAAAGGGGGGCGGTAGGAGGGATGTGGGATGGGTTGGTAGTAAACTGGTATAGTGTTGTGTTGGAGAATCTCTGCGTAACACCTGCTGCTCGTGTCGTAACTTGTCTGACATCCTCATTGCCGAAAACAGAAGCTGTTGGGGCTTCCAGATCGACCGATATACCGGTATCTCATAACGGCTCGCGCCAAGAAAATGGCCTTTTAAATTGCACACACCGACTTTACATCGACGCCTTATTAACCCTGCAAACGTGAATACGCGAACCTTGATTCTACGGGTCTCTTACTTTAGTTGAAGTAATAAGTAACACGCATTACTCGTTTATTAATTACATTACCTATATTTAGAAAATATATTTTGATATCTCCTATGTTGAATACACTTCACTTATTATTCACCGACAATCTCGTGAAATATCAAATCTTTATATTATTCACAATTCATTCATTCGATGCTTCGACATACTTTGATTCAAAGGGGGGGGGGGGGAAAGGAAAAACCATGGAAAAACTATTTCTCTCTTTTTCGAAAAATATAAAATATTCGCGTGTAAAAATTCTATTTTATGAATTGTTCAAACACAAACAAATGATATTAAAATACAATGTAGGATATATTATACTATATATTATCTATTGGGTTGGGGTAACTAAGTGAGTGTGGTTACTTTAATAAAAACCTACAAGTCCATGGGGGACCTCTTTTTTTTATCTCTTTCTATCTTTTTATCTATCTATCTATATATCTCTCTATCTTTTTGTAAAATAAATGTAATATATTATAATATATTGGGTTGGCAACTAAATGAGCGTGGTTACTTTCAACAAAAACCTATTGAAAACAAAGGTCCCGGGGACCTACGTTTACGAGTGCGTATAGTTGGTTGAAAAGTTTCGAGCTCAATATAGAACAATTTTTCGTCACAGTATCAGAACTTTTTAACCCTAGCCACGTATACATCTCTCAGAACTTTCCGAAAATTTTAATCCGATTTTGAGAAAATGACTTACGACAAAGAAATGTTATTTCTTAAATTTATTGTCACTTTAACAAATTCAACGTTTTATGTAACAAATTTTCTGTCCGATTGTTATCCCAATAACGACGTAATAAAAATACATCGCAAGTGTATTCTACAATGTACGTGAAAACTTTCGAAATATCCTGATATTAAGTAAGATATATGTGAAAAGTTAATAAAAACCGACAGTTTTATTCGATATTATTACACAAATGTATACGAAAATAAAGTATTATTTCTGTAATACAAATAATGTCGACATTTACACTTCATTCTAGTATCGTAATAGCTGACAGAACATCTGTTACTGTTTCAATACCGCTTGTCAAATTGTGGATAATAAATGAATATCTATTCATGAAACTGAGTATAAATATGGAAGGTGAAGAATTGCAATTCAAAAGTGGGAAAGAAACAAGCGAAAATGAAGCTTTTCGCATCCTCCTTACTCTTCTTAGCGGCTTCGGCTGCAGCTAACTCGGTAAGTTTATAATATATACAAAATATCTTAGGATATATTAAAATTGATCGTTTAGAAAAAGATATAACTTTAGATTTATTTGAAATTTTTAAATAACAGATTCTACCTGGCCCAACTCCGAGTCCAGTAAAAACTGCGAAACCTGGTGGTCCAGCAATAGGTGCTGGAGTAGGTGCAGGAGCCAGTGTAGGAGTTAGTGCTAAAAACAATATAGGATCAGGTCTATCAATAAGCAATAGAGTAGGTTCTTCATCGCGTGTAGGAATAAGAGCAGGAAGAAATATAGGATCAAATGCAGGAATAGGATCATTAGCCGGTTATGGAGCTAGTATTGGAGCCAATGCAGGAAATAATATTGGTTCGGGTCTGGGAATAGCTTCTGAAGTAGGAAAATCAGGAAAAGTAGCAGCCACTGCAAAACGCAATATAGGAAATAATCTAGGAATAGGTTATAATGCTGCTTCCAAAGCTAATCTAGGAGCCACCGCAGGAAAAGATATTGGAGGAAATCTAGGAATAGGTAATAGTGTAGGAGAAAATTCAAATGTAGGAGCAAGTGCAGGAAAAAACATTGGTTCCGGTCTAGGAATAGGTAACGATGTAGCACAACAATCGAATATAGGATTAAGTGCTGGACGAAATATTGGATCTAATGTAGGCATCGGTTCCAACGTTGGAAAAGGAGCAACTGTAGGAGGAAGTGCAGGAGGAAATATTGGACCCAATGCAGGCATTGGTAACAATGTAGGTAGAGGATCAAATATAGGAGCAAGCGCAGAAAAGAATATTGGGGACAATTTAGGAGTAGGCAGCAATGTAGGACAAAATTCTAACGTTGGAGTAAGTGCAGGAAATAATATAGGATATGGTTTAGGAATCGGCAATGGTGTAGGTGCATCAGCAAATGTAGCAGCAAGCGCAGGAAAAAATGTAGGTAAAGGAGTAAATGTAGGTGCCAATGTAGGTGCAGGAGCAAGTTTAGGAGCTAGTGCAGGCAACAGTATTGGATCTGGAGCAGGAATAGGAATAGGTGTAGGCTCAGGATCAAGTATAGATGTTAGTGCAGGAGAAAATGTAGCAGCTGATGATGATATTATTAGCGTTCCGATAATACCACCAAGACCTAGACTACCTTTACCAATCCCACGTCCACGTCCTAGACCATCTAGCAGTTCTGCAGCACCAACCACTGCCAGTTCAGCCGCACCAAGTCAACCCAGTTCAGCACAACCGTCCAATCCATCTTCAGGAGGTGCAGGAGTAGGTGTTGGAGTAGGCCTTGGAGTAGGTGTAGGAAATGAAGGTGGAGTAGGAGCCGGACTAGGCGTAGGGGTAGGCGAAGGA